ACATATATATATATATATATATATATATATATATATATATATATATATATATATGTATATATATATATACATATATATATATATATATATGTATATATATATATATATATATATATATATATATATGTATACACGTATGTTCATACATGCATATATGTACACACACACACACACACACACACACACACACACACACACAAACACATACACATACACACTCACGTAAAATATGATACACAGAGTTCGTCGCGACCTACAACATCTCTCTCAGGGATAATGCAGGCGCCAGGGCCACGTCCTGCTGCTTACACCAACACTATGTAGACGAAGGAGTTTTAGTCGTGTTACTGAGCATCTCTATGAAAAAAAAAAATAATTCACTTACTTGAACAGCCTTTTTCCGTGGTTGTATGGCTGCGTCTTTTAGTTTAGTCCTATAATATCGCTATATTTATTTACATAATATGCTAATATCATCCATCTTCACTTAACTTACTTTAGTAAAATATGACGATATGTTTTCTGTCTATTTCTACCGTGTTTGTTTGTAAATAACCATGTTTCTTTTACAAGGATTCTGCTTCGGTGTCTAGTCGTAAGAAAGAAACACTTTTCGGTTCGTCTGCCGACATTCATAGTATGTTATAACAACAATGTATATATATATATATTTATATATATATATATATATATATATATATATATATATATACATATATATATATATATATATATATATATATATATATATATATATATATATATATATATATATATATATATACATATAACACACACACACACATAAACACATACACCCCCCCACACACATCCACACAACACACACAATACACACACACACACACACACACACATACACACACACACACATACACATCTACTAACACACATAAACACACACACACACACGCACAACACACACAACACACACACACACACATACATGCACACACACACACACATACACATACACATCAACATACGCACCCACCCACACACAAACAATATACTTCTGAAGTAGTAGAATGTTACAGTTATTGACAAATCAACGGTAAGTATTACTAGATGAATATCCACAAAACGCTAGGAAATGCTGTATTAGATATATCAACAGGTGATAAAGTAGTCTCGGACAGAGAGAAAATGAGCCAGTGGCAAATAATGTCATTTTTGAGTTGGACCCACGTAACCATGCCTAGATATACATATTTTTACTAGTAAAAGGGGAACTTTCTTCACATGTATCACAGGCATGGCAAATAAAAATGACACCATCCCATAGGAATATAGATATCTTTAGACGTGGCTAAATGGATTGGTCCTTATTGTAGCCAGTTAGAGTAATTAAAAAAAAATGGGATGGACACACAAACTGGTATTAATACATTAATCTCGCTGCAACAAACACATGCCACTAGTTTTCCCTCTTATTGATCAAAGATGATACACCGTGATATTTAATCTAAATGATAAAGTAGTCTTTCACCTCAAACTGACGCAGGCAATCTTAAGTGTTTAGAGCACAGTATTAAACTGCTAAATTAGATTTTTTCTCTAAAAAGACTTAAGAAAACACATTTCCATTTGATATTTCTTACATTCTTAGAGACTTGGGAACTAGTTTATAGCTCGATTGAAACAATGGTGTTATGACACTAAATATATAAATAAGGACCTTGCATAGGTGACATGCGGCAACTTCATATTACCTTTGATCTGCTAATTCATCAGATGATGGATTATTACTATATCAGTAAACTTTGGAAGTAATGTCAGAGGAAGAGCATCGATGACACAGTACTTATGTGTTTTTCCTTTGTATTTATCTTATCAATACAAGTTGTGTAAGAAATAGCGCAGTGACTTTGTAAAGACCATCGCATTGCCTTACACGCTTCTCTTCCTACACACTCAAACATACATATGCGTAATGTATTTGAATATATAAATAAATATATAGATAGACAGGCAGATAGAGACACATAAAGACAGACGAAGACAGAGAGACAGAGACAGAGAGAGCTCGAACGATAGAGAAAGGCAAAGAATGTCCAAGATCTTATTTAGATGAATCATATGTTAATTTGGGTTTTTATGGAGGCACATTTTTTTAAGTGCCAAAAAATAAATAAGAGCAAAACATATCGGTTGGTATTAAAATGAGCGGGGAAGATTTTCAGATATAAAAGACCCAATATTTCTAAATAAGAGAGAGAAAAAAAGTATACGAAAGTCTTTCCAGGATATCTTACTTAAGGAGAGTGATTATGGAACAAGAAAAGTGATTATGGACAAAATACCCAGACGTGAGGGGGAGGGGCATCATGATCTAGTACGAAATCCATCCATAAGGTCTTATTACAATCCTTCAGTGCTTTTGTCATGATCCTGCTTACAAATAGTTTAGAATAATACATAATGAATAATGTGGATAAGCCAAGAATAACCAAAGATGCAGACTCATGAAATATACAGTTACGTATAATTTCCTCTAGGAAACAAAGATCCGCTTCTTTCTACTATCTGACACAGGGTTTTCACGAAATTATATCAGTTTGCTATCCTGAATGCAGTTTTAGTCTTCGTCTCAACTTAGAAAATGTATTCTCCCCGGCGGGGAATCGAACCCCGGTCTCCCGCGTGACAGGCGGGGATACTAACCACTATACTACCGAGGAATTAAGTAGTATTGTGATGCGATTGTATGGATACGACTTTTAATGTCTGTAAAACACATGCATTTCCACATATGCACATGTACGTAAAAACAAAGACACGCACATGCACTCTCTCTCTCTCTCTCTCTCATACACACACACACACACACACACACACACACACACACACACACACACACACACACACACACACACAATGCATGTGGCAATGCATGTATTTGTGTATCTGTATAACAGGTATAAAAGTAGACAAGTAATAAACAGCCCCGGTAAGAAACTATACTTTTCGGACTAATCAACAGCGTTTTCTTCGTCAAGTACACGACCGGGGACTGCATATGGAATTATTATTATTTTTTTCTTCTGATCCCACGCCTACCTCCTACGACGCCCCTGGATCCTAACCATCCCCTTGAAGTCTCTACAAATACGATATCGATTGACATCAGCTGGCACGAGGCTGTTTATGCTAGTTCTTTGCAGGGAACGATAAGGTTAATTCATCTTGCAAATCATTATATTTTTACACCGTAATATATCATAGTAACGTGTTCTATATGTATGAATGCACTTTGATAATAAGATTTATTACAGCCCAAAGCCAAAGGGTAGACTAATAAGATATAGCGTGTTTTGCCTTCACCTTCCCGAAAGGCCTCGATACTCAGTTCGCTGCCAGTGTTAACGGTTACCAACCACAGTCGCCCTTCCTGTCCGTCACTCCTGCATTCCTCTAACCAGTCACCGCCCACGCGGTAACTGAATAGGGAACAGATCGCGCCCGTGAAAAGCAACAAGTCCCTTCTCGAAACTTTGAATCATGTTTTACACTCATATTCATCATAGTCCGCAAGACTACGTGACTGTATTGTGGCGATTTGTTATTCCTTACTGCTCTATCCGTCAAACAGTATTATCAGTAAAAAATGCAAAACCTAATCGTAAATGAAAATTCTGCACATTAAGCTACAGAATAAGCTAAAATGTCAACAACACTGCCAAACTTCATGTGGTACTCTTGAAAGTCAAGAGTACAACGATAACATTACAGTAAAATGGACTGGAAATGAATATATCGATTATAAGTGAATAAAGAATATACAAAACATGTGTAAAAAAAAAGCTAAAATACAATTATCCCATAAACGAATTATGTTACAATAGCTGTCTCGTTAAAGTCTCACTTACAAAGCTATCCGGTTTTATATTGATAAACAAGGCAAGTTTACCAGCATTTATAAAGAGAACCAACTGTGATGAATTATCATTCTTATAAACATGAATACTATTCTTTCATGGAATAATAATGAAATGGAAAACAACAGGTCATACATATTCCATGATTAATTGACAAAACTGAATAATCTTTTTCAGAAAAATCAATACATAGAATACTTCCCATTCGTGAGAAACCATACGTATTTCTGATTTCTGGGTAGTTTTAGATCATAATTATATATACTTCTATCCAGTTTCTGTTTGTTAGTTTGGTATAGCCTACTAATAAGACAAAAACTTAATTTGCGTATTCCGGTTGCTTGGACTTCACTAAGGTGTCAAAAGTATTGTAAAATGACAAAGGAGAATGGTGACCTGACTTTTGTTTTTTCCACTGCCATTCATCTGACTAATAATGTTCTTTAAATATGACTTCGAAACAAACATATCGACATTACACATAGTATATTAACTGCAGCTTTGGTAATGATAATACACCTTTGGGTGCGTAACGTTTACCATATATATATTTACATGTAATTACTAGCATATATCAATAACTATATCTGTGTCTATTAATCTACACTCAAACATGCACACATCCATGCATCCATACACACTTATATATCTATCTTTCTATCTATGAATATATCTAGAGAGATTCCGTACATGCATACATGCATACATACATATGTATACACACACTCACACATATATCTAATACATTTGTGTATACATATATACATATCTACTCACACACATACAGTGTATATGTGTATGGAAATTCAAATGTACGGATCTCATCCTCCACTGGTGCCGTAAGCATATGTTTACATTACTAAATTGGTAATCCGGGGCTGATAAAAAAAATGTTTGGTTTATAAGCATGACAGTATATCTGCTTCTAGTCTCCAATTAAGGCTGATTTTTTATAAGACAACAAGACTGATGCAATGATGCCAGTTTCTGTGTTCTCTTGCGCTTGTTTGTATATTTACAATTTGTTTATGAACCGGATACTGGCGTATCTATTTTTTTTTTTTTTTACAGAAAGCATTATAAGGAACGTAAGGAAAACCCAAG